TAGGACTTTATTACATTTAGGACAGTTATTACATTTAGGACTTCAACAGACCCTTTGGAGCACGAAACGCGGGAGAAAAAATTAATTCTGAATCTTTTACACCCTAACATCAGTATGCATATTCTTCATACTGTTCTCATGGCATTTCCTAAGGCTCTGACGAGGAGAATTTGTTAAAGAAACAATAATATCTTTAATTAGTGATTATTTCCATTATTTTCGTGACCTGTCTGATGTGTTTAGACGAGCCACATTACTAGTAGCACTGGCCATATAAGCAGCTCAATAGGATTGTGGAGTTGCATTCAGATCAACGGGATTTAACAAGAACACAACTTATCAAACGTATTTCCCGGTAAGAAATTTTCTTTTTTATGATGATTTGAATAGCGTCGGTTTGTTAGAGGCTGACCGCCTAGGCAAGTGTTTTTTTTTTCCATTTTTTTTTTTCACTACTTTTCTTAACCATTTTAAAATCAATCCGAGACATGTTCATGTTCAGCTTTAAGTGTTTCAACGGCAGGAACCAAGGTGTCATCTCGCTAGAATTTAAAACGCTTGCTTACAACTTTTCTTTTTCAAGAATTGTATAGTCCGCAAACGAATATTTCATCATTAACCCTGGATTCAAGAAATCTTTCACTGAAAATGAACAAAGGACTGATATCGAAAGCAGCCTCTAAAATAGTTTATACATCTATTTACTGTGAAATATCTCAATCGAAAGAGTCTTAAATTTTTGATTTGTCAAGCATCATTTGCTTAAAAGGGCAAATTATAGGTGAAATATTTCTCGTGCTCTTAGGATTTAGTAGACTTTTATCTTTCCTTTTCATCTTTTCTATTTCAGCCAACTAAAAGATGGAAACCAAGAGCCTTGTAGCTTTGTTTCTTGTTTCGTGCATTTTTGTCTCTGTCTGTTTTCAACCCGCCGCCTCTCAAGGTCTTCGATGGGGAAGAGAATATGAAGAGGAAGAAGAAAAGCATCGAGTGAATCCAGTGAAAGCCGATTATCTCAGGCGCAACGAGATACACAGAACATTTGAAGATGCCGCAGATGAGGGTAAGAAATTACAAAAAAAAGAC